AGACACTAGCCTGGGTTGCTGCTAAGGAACTTAAATTAAGTTACTATATTGGGGAAACCCTATTATTTACTATATATACCCATTATGGTAACTTAATTTAAGTTCCTTAACAGCAACCCAGTAGCAGGGCTAGAGATGGCTGGGGGAAGCCAGCGGGGGGGGAGGGGGGGAAACAGAAGCAAAGGGAGCAGGAGTGATCTTGATTGGGAAGTCGGCTGGGCTGCACACACATCACGGAGGGCTTCAAAATAGTTCTGAATTGCAGTTAAGACATCTAAAGGATACAACTAGAAACACGAGGAGAAAAAAAAACAGGCCTGCACAAATGCCGTGATAGTGATAGTCGCAGTAGGAAGTAGGAGACGATGACGATGATGGGATGACGATGGGTGGAAAAGATCTTGCACCACTTAGGATCCCCACTTGCGGTGCAACTGCTAGGGTGGACGGTATATGTAGTTTCCCTGGATAGGGGGATCCCAGTATAGACCGCAATATACTACAGTCCTCATTAGACAATTCCCAAAACGGTACCCCTAATTTTTGGGAAACACTGACCCCTATAATCCACTTTAAAATCACAGTTTCCATTTGATTTGCCACCGTATTTTACATTCGGTTCTCCATTATTGAACAAGGTACGCCTAATTTTGAATCCCCCTTTAAATCCTATAAACCCTATAAACCCTAAAACCCTGAACCCTATACACCCTATAAATCCTAGATTGATACAAGATTTCCTCCCTGCACGGCAGGAGTAGGCAAAGGAGAGGCTGAGGTGAGCATGCAAGAAAGATGAAGGTAGAATTAGGGGTCCCTTTGAAGAGGTTTATGGGGCTATATGGGGTTCTATAAGGGTATATGTAGGTTTTAGGGTTATGGGTTTCCCAAAAGTGGAAAGAAACATGGAAAAGTAAATGGAAACTGGTGCTATACAGTGGGTTATAAGGGCTTGCGTTTCCCAAAATTGAGGGTACCCTTCTGGGTGGTTTCCATAACAGGGATTATAGTATGTTGGGTCTATATCATGGGCTCCTTATCTGGGGAAACTGCCAATTCTGGTAGACGACAAAGGTAGTTGTAGGCAGAGGTCGTCCTGGCCAGTGTTTTTGTTCTTGGCGTGGTAGCAAAAAAAAGCCCTGCAAAAACCAGAGCGGGCTGCCAATGTCAAATGAGCTATAGTCTAAACTCCTAGCATGTTCCTGACTAACCCCTATAATAGTCCCCGATATAATCCCGTATGTACCTCCCTTTTAAGGAATTTAGACCATTACTCAAATACGCACATGTGAACCTAGCAAACTTTTTGCCAACCTGTATGAGCGAGAAAATCTTGCCCACTAGAGGTCAAGAATAGTTCTGCCTGCCGACCTCATCTGCAGCTGGCCGCCAATCGTAGAAGTAGTCCTTGATGAAACCCTATAAACCTTAAGCCCTTAAGCCTAAGTTTGCCTTCATGGTTGCATCTGTTTTGCTTTCCCAAAACCCTAAACCCTGATCCTTAATCCCTAAACCCGAAACAAATCCCTAATCCCTAGACCTACCTAAACCTAATCCCCAAACCCTATATAATCCCTAAACCGCTTTGCTGCTTGCAGACAATTCTCTAGACTTTGCAGCTCTGCCTTGCTTTTTGGCTCAGCTTGCCGGCTCCAGTACAGGTTGTCTCAAGATGTCTTAGTGTGCGCTAGCGAGGGATAATATGTGTGTATATCAATATACGTATGCATAGAAGGTTCAGGGTTTTGGGGGTTAGGGTCTAAACTCTTCAAAGGGGGTTGTATATATATATATATTTACTTATTTATTTATATGGAGAGTATATATGGGACTACTATGGCGGTTATTACGGCTGACACTAGGAGTTTAAACCATATTTTACTATGGGGAAATCTCAAAATACAGGTGCCCATGGGGACGCTTGAGAAAATGATATGGTGTCTGAAATGCGGTGCCATCCTGCATGGGGACTACTAGCTGCTGTCACACAAAGTCATGATGGCTCCCGACAAAACAAGCTTTATTGTGACTTGCAACTTTCTTTCTGACATGCCCTCACTTTGCCCGTAGCCCGGCGTTCAGGAATCTCGGACAAGCAACCAACTGTGAAGCCAAGTCTCGGCAGGTGCTGCTACCCAACGATTGGAAAGTCGGAGATCTGACTCCTAAACCCTAAACATTTCAGTGCAGACCCCTCTGCATTCCCCTGCCTCTGTATAGAACCACCTTGGCCAGGGTGTGCCAAAGCGTTGCCCTGGCTCAGCTGGAATCTTCTGCGAAGCCAAGTGCGCCTCCAGCTGGGACCGGAGGCAGGCAGCTATTCGGGCTTGGGCTTTGGGTTTTCTCTCTGGGTCTAGGGTTTATGGTTTATAGGTAGATTTCAAATGATTTCAGGCTCAGATTCTTGCGTTTAGAGCTGCAGGGAAGTCTGGGCAAGCCCAGCAGTTGCAGGGCGCCTGGAGCTCCTCCAAGGACAGGAATCCATCACCATCCTTGGGATATAAGGCTTCAACACACGTATTGCTCAACTACATCCCATTAGTCCCAAAAAGGACGTGGATACAAACCATTGACAGTGCTGTATCTCATTAGCTCCTAACATAGAGGGTGTATATTGGGTGAGCTGCTTTCAAGAATGGCGTGTCAGGAATCAGTGAAAAACGCATGTGTGACCCTCCGATACATACCCCAACACATACCCCCACAACGTCCCTTTTGTCAATAGCCGTGTACCTACGAAACATGGCCGAAACATACCTCGAAACGTACCCCACTCCAAACATGCATGTTTGACCATGTCTTAGCCGGAAACACTAAACCCAATGATAACTGGTACCTATAACCCATTTGTAACCATCATTTTAGGGGACTCAGCGGACTCGCGCTTGGGGTATAGGACCACTCTGTGCGTAGTAAGGCCGAATGGACAGGACTAAGTTCAGAAGAAGCATCCTTGTCCAACTCAGAAAAGAGCTCTGCATGTTGGGCTTGAATGACCTTTGCGTCCTCCGTTGCGCGGACAGCCTGCGCATTTGTCAATTTTCCAAGGCGCATGAAGTTTCTGGGTTGACGACTTTACACAAAATTGCACTGCCCTCGTGTTCCCGAACGTGGCAACCCTATAAGGCCTTGTGCCCCCGGCAGGTCGGGCCTTTGGGGCGCGCAGAGTACTAAACGAGTGCCAGAGGTCAAGGCAGTGGCCCTCGTAGTACAGGTGCGACATCGCGTGAGTTGGAAGGAAGGCTCGAAAGTAACCTTGGCATCTGTAAACTCAACAGCAAACGTGCAGAAGGCCAAGACAAAGCTTGCAAAGAAGCAGCAATGAAGAAGCAACAGTTGCAATGGAGCACGCCTTTCCGTCCTGCTCTGAGAGACAAGGAGAACAACTGGCTTTCGTGTTCTTGCGCTTCGAATGTCGTCCACAATGGTACAAACACATCCTTTTGCTCTGGTGGAACTTGGTGGGCTGCCTGCTTTCCGTCCTTGCTCCAGTGATGCTCGTAGAGGCTGCGCTTCTGCGTCTGCTTCCCAAACGTCCGCATTCACCACTTGCCGCTTGAACTGCCTTGAAACGTCGTCCATGCATACGTGGGAACCTGCCCTCCTTGAATCTTCGCCTTGCATGCTCACTTCCAGTGGTCGACCACTTTGCCGTAGATATGCTCCAAGGTGCACGTGCCATTCTCCCAACCATGGATGTTGCTTATGGTGTACTCATACTCATCTTTTCCGCCCACAAATGTCTTCTTCTTTACCAGGTGACCCCAATATCGACCCTTGATCTGGCAGAAGACAATATCCTTTTCCTTGATGTCCTCATGGCGAAAGACTGGAACATATCTACAACATTCGCCGCTCTTGATGCGAGGGTGCAAACTATTTCCCGACCCTCGGAACTCCACAGTTTCTCCTGCTTGCAGCCTAGCCCGCCATGCCGCATTTCCTGTCAGCTTTGTTCCCCCTGCTTCTGGCAGCGGATCCACCAGACCGTCAGCGGAACCAGCTTCAGATTCGCCAGCTGCACGGTGAGAAGTTGCCCAGTCCAGTAAGCGCTTACCGAAGCCTTGCAGCTCAGATGTGTCCAGCGCTAGCTGTCTTGAGACCCAGTCTGTCAGGTCTTTCAAGGCATCCACCCCATCGACGCTGACATGAAGCTGGTCGTCCATCTCGACAGCCAGTCCCAACTCGCCATGCACGTAGATCTGCGCGCTGTGTTTGTGGAACCCAGCGTCTTCGAGAGAAGTAGCAATGTCAGCCGCCTTGTAATTGAGCATGCACATCCCAAAAGTAAACAGGCACCCAAAACGTCCCTGCTGTGAATTCCACCCGAATCAGGAAAAATCAAGTACAGACGGCAAACCGGACCGTTAGCTGTGCCTGGAGGCTTTCTGAACCTACCCTTGCGGCTATTATCTGTGCATGCGCGGCACGACCCCAGGCTCAAACTCCACCACCGCGGCAATGGGCTCGGGATCATCTGGCTCAGCCACCTCCGCCTTCTCCTCTTCCTTCTCCTGCCGCTCTCCGTCGAAAGAATCAAAGAATTGCTGCGCCAGCGTGGCACCATACTCTTCACCAGGACTGAAGTCTAGCAAAAGCGTGCGGCAAACATCTTCCGCCTTAGCTCGCTCACAAGGCGCCTCGAGAGAAAGCTTCGGCGGCGAGCACGACGGGTAATCATCGGGCAGCTGGATCGTCAACTCTGCTTGGGCACTCGTGCACCGCAGGACCCACTCATGCGGGCCTGTCTCAAAGAAGTCATCCCCATACATAGCAGACAATGCCTCTGCCTCGTCGCGCCTACGTTCGGAGTCATCCGCCATTGGGCAGGCCGGGAGCTATAGCATCCACTATCACAGCAAGAAAGGGCTCCTCGTGCTTCCAGTGTTGAACTAGAGCTGTTCTACTTGTTGAGCAGTACCAGCAGCAACTCGTGATTGCAGGCCACGGGGAATAAAGAGGAGAAAACATGCATCGAGCGTGTAGTAGTGGCAATCCGACTGCTCTCGTCATGCGTGAGGATGGACATTCACAACAAACAATCATATGAATGGCGCGACAATACAATCAAAATGCAGTGCAGCAAAATCATGCAGACTGGTTGCGGGCCGGTAGCGGAAGCTGAAACTGGAAGGTGGTAGCCTCAACGCTCAAGTTTCATCATGGTTTTGCCAAGGAATCCCTGAAGAGGACATTCCCTTCAACCCACCTTGCTCAGAATGAACGTTGCTGCGGGACATGCCGGAAAAAACAACAAGCAGAAGCAAACCTGACCTAATTAGGCCTTGTTTGAACGGGGAGGTGTCCTTGCTGATTGGATTTTATGCATCTTGCTGGCCTGGCTAGCATTACGCCTCTTACAGGCTCTTTGAGCGGATAACGCCCTGGGGTTGAATCCAAGCACGTAAAGTCCCAACATGTCCCAACACCAACTGGTGCAAACTGCCGAAGACGGAGTTCATCGAATTGGATCTCCCAAACAAGGTTTGCAGAATCAGTGTTACTGAAAGCGACCTGATGGAAAATACTCCGAACGTAAGCATCCGTATTGAGGGCCCGACCACTGTGCACTCTGGGTTTCCCGTCTCTGGCACCTGGTTCCAAACGCATCCTAAGGCTAAACAGCAACCTTCTCTATTCCTAAATGGGTACATGAATTGAACATCCTAGCAGCAATGGCGTGCAGACGGTGCGGCAAGTCTGCTCTGGGGCTTCGGGGTCGTAACGTCATGGATACCCACATCTTCGAGTTTTGGGAATGCCCTTTTTGCGCCTAGGAGCCTGGCCGTCACAGTATACAGCCACACTAAACCAAGCACCAAGGGGTTTAGGGTTTTAGGATTTCGGGACCCTGCTTTTCAGAACCCCCGCCTGCGTCTCGTGGAAAATGTTCGGGAAGAAGACGATGGCCTGAAGGCTGCCGTGCTGTTTCATGTGAAGTGGTTGCATCTGGTTCCCCGCCACAATCTGACAACCATGCCAGGAGGTGCTCCCTTGAATTCCCAAGGCTGAACTCTGGAGAAACTTACATTTAGAAGCCAATGTAGCGCCCGAACGAAACGGCTCAACACCGGTCAACCATCCCAGGAAACCTCGCCCTGCTCCACGGTGGCTTCCCACACCGGGCGCCAGAGCTTGGTGCGATAAATCCTTGGTCGGCCCATGTCGGCGCCAGGAGGGTAGTAGAGCTCAATATGTGTATCCATTAGCCCCAAATTTGAATGTGCGATCTGAAAGTCAGACCTGTGTTCCATCTTCCATGTATTACTGTATCCGACCTGCACGGGACTGTACAGTGCGCACCATACTCACGAACCGGAAGCAGCCACATGTTTCCGTGACATCAGCCAGCACAACACCACTTCCGAAAGAGAATGCTCACCCTCTCAAATTTCTCGATTCATAGCCCTATGACTTCAGCCCTTCGATGCGAAGCCTGAATCCTACATTCAAGCCCTCACGACAGACTTATGATGACAAGTTGCAGCACTGGGAACAACCACCATTCAAAAGGAGCCATCATGACCATAAGGGCTACGTGCAATCAGACGCAGACAGAATCAGAACTTGCGTAACAATAATACATGCAACGGGTCAGCTGAGGACTGCACCCGCCATCATGAGAGTCCGGAGCGTGTCGAGACAGATTGACGTGCGGATGGGGCATCAGGCGCCAGTGCCTCAGCTTTTCAGGAGGCACTAGCTTTGGACATCTGGCTCCCAGCTAGTAGCAGTCCATTTCTTAGTTACGAGCTTTGCTCACTGCCATTCAGGGCGGGGCTTTGGCTTTCAGGCCTATGATTTGATATTATGTGAAGAGTCTAAGTTGCGGGCTTCCACGTCGAAGGAAAACCCTGCCGACGGGACCACGGCACCAAATAAATAGGTCAATCCAGGGAACCCCCTCGCTCAACAGACTACTCATGGACTGCGTCATGCAGGTGACGTGACTGTAACAACAGATTCGAGAATGCAGGCGCCCCTCCTGCCGAAAGGACAAACCACAGCCCCCCAATTGAAAAAAAGGTTTGCTTTTGGCGAGTAGGAGCAAGTCACAATGAGATGCACGAGCAATTGAGCAACGAAGATGAAAGAATAATACCCTATCCATGTATTATGTCTGATATTCGCGTTCGCCTGGTGTTGGCCCAGGCACTTGCGACCCGTCAGCTGTAAGGAAACGGCAGGGATGCAGTAGGTGTCCTGCAACTCACTCTACCAGGTGCCGATTGTGATCTCCAAGGCCGCCATTGCACTCACAACCACAACCACAGCCACCACCAACAAAAGCACAAACAACACCACCACTCGGAGCACCTTTACCAGGACTAGCAGAAGGAAATAGTTGTCGTAGCGACAGCCCTGATTTCAAGCGCGACAAAGACTGTATAGTGTGGTAGTCATCGTAGTAGTACCTGGAGCACGGACCTACCAGTTCGTCGTGTAGCACTGGCCAACCATAGTCGAACTAATTATTCGAGCCGTGACACTGAAAGAAGAAGGAAAATCAATGGCAGTGAATTTACTGCTTCTCTGTACTGCTGCGAGCACACTCTGCAAACTAGGGATCAAGGAACCCGATGAAGATGTGATCTTCGAAGCCGCAAAACATGTAACTTTGACGGATTGAAACACCATTTAGATTCCGGCGACCCCGTACTAGCAAGCAACAACTCTTCTGGAACCGCTCCTAGAAACACAACGCAATCATCTGCATGCTTCGTCAGCTAGTGCCACCCACCCAAAAAATCTGCAGGTCAATTCGAGGGTCCGCATGCGCCATCACTGACCCATTGCGGCGATGGAACCAGAACCTGGGCTCTGCAAGTGATATAGTCCCCGATAGGTAGATAGAATATGGGGTATATGGGGGTCTTAGTATACTATACCCAAAGCCATATTCCATCTACTTAAGGGGGACTATACCTTCCAGGCTTACAACAGCCAAATGCTTTAAAAAGTCATTCCCAAGCCACGTCACTCGGCGGACTCATTGGCTTCGCGGAGGTTTGTTTCGCCCCGGAGGAAGTAGGGTGGCTGCCAAGCCTGCTGTCAATTTTCATTGCAGGCTCAAACTTGGGCTTCATCCTTTTGTAGATATCATGTTGTGTTTAAATTAGGTTTGACCGGATCACACAGGGGTAGGTGTCTATACAGATCATCTTAGGGTTCAGGGGCCTTGCTGCCAAAACCTGAGCCAAATTGACTAAAAGTTAATACAGAGCAATACAGAGCACCTTTTCGCGCTTTTGACAAAACGTCATTGGGGGACCTTGCCCATGGCGTGGAGTGGGCTAAGCTGGATGTGGGCACTTCCGAAAAAGCGCAGCCGAGGTAGCATGTCTTCCCCGGCGTTTCTAGGACCAGCTAGGGGTTGTCAGCCACAGGAAATTCTCAAAGTTGCGCCGGTGTCTAAACCTGCTAAGAGGTGAGAAGATAGAAAGGCTGCAAAGGCTTTTTATGATATTCATGCAGGCTCATGTAAGAGAGCCTGACTGTGCTCATGTACCAACTGCGAGTGTGAAGGTGGCTCATGAACTGAAACTGAAGTTGGTACTGAGAGTGGGACACCACCCCTGACGGCAAAGGAGCGCAAGTATCTCAATTCTTGTAGCCCTCAACCCTAAACCTTAACCCCTCAACCCTCAACCCTGATCTCAATCCTTGCAACTACACTACAGAAACATCCCGACTGAGGAATGGAGGTAGCATGTACCTCCGCACAGGCCTGGAGATCGGAAACTCCCATGTCTTTGCTTTGAAAGATGTATTGCATTCTCTCTTAAAGACGTTCACGAAAAGGGGCATATAGGCTTACTGTACATTGGGCTAGCATCCCTTTCTAACTACAACTCAGTTGACCCCAAGTACAGCACGGGGAGCAGTATCACCGCCATTCAATTTGCTGCCCCTGAAGCCTTTCTTTCTTTGCTTCTCTCACACGTGCTCAGGCGGACCTGAACCCTAAATCCGAAATACCCACCCTGGTTTCATGATTGACAAAGGCACACGCTGCACCGCTGCGCGTACGTCCGGTGGCGCCTCATGGCCCCCATCCTGACAATGCTGGCTACACCCTACACATCCCCGTACTTACATCCCTATCCATCCCCATACCCTGCGTATTACTACGCTTGCCCTTCCCGATCTACGCCCATAAGTTCGCACCTAGACTAGACTTGCTCGGGAGTTCTCCGCTTATGGTCAAGGGTGTCTGGGCTTCACTCCGGTGATAGCAACCGCCATATGACAATAGGGAATATATGAGGGCTATAGTAGGAATATATTTTACATTGATTACATAGGGATTCTATTCCTGGGTTCGCTATTAAGACTTACGAAGAACCAGTAAGCGTATGCAGTTTGTTGGGGGACCCATGATTCTTGATTGCTCCTTATTCGGAATTCCTAGTCTACCCATCAGAAGCACGACGACCCAGAAAAGATCTGCATGCTTGGGGCGGGGCGGTTCAAGGTGCTTAGACTTAGACATATGGATGTGTCTGACAAACACACAGGCTCTTGTTCAGGCAGATATGGGAAAGTGCCAATCGTTGTCAAAAACAATGCGTCAGATACTCGCAAGAATGATTCGGAGCTCAGGGTTCTGGAGATCAGGACCACAATGCTCAGCAAGCACGCGTGCAGGCAAGCAAGGAAACACTGTGACAGGTGTTCATTTCATGTGGAGCTGGGAGGGTGTAAGGAAGAGGGGCTTCATGTTGCCCAAAGAAGGACTAAATGACGGCGGCTTAATGCGGGTGTGTATATATATATATACATACATATATATATATATATCCCCCTACACTCCCCCCTACACCCTCAAACTCCGCATGGTACAAGGGTAGACCTATATTGCTGTAATCCCTAGACACCCGTTCACTATCCACAGTGACTAGTTACCATATTATACTTTCACATTCCCAAGAGCAACCGGCTTGGCATGTGCCAGTCCTTCACGTGCCAGACATACGGGGCCGTGATCTGCTGCCGCAGCGACTCCTGCCGTGATGCAATCAAAGCTTGGCTAACGGACACCACCGGACCCTGGTAGCGTCCCGAAGTCATCTTTCCACACCATCATCAGGAAGCGCGAATGTGACGCTGCTTCGAAGACGGCCACTAGTCTGGCGTCGGCTGAATAGGCTGGGAAGGATGGAACACAAGTACGGGCGTAACTAGCATGAAATACGTCCTTGCTGGACTTCTTCGACTTCTTCGCTGGTTGATGCCGATCCTTGGAGAACCACTCCTGCGGCAGAATTGCCAGGAAACACAGGCAGCTGGTGTGGGCGCATGGTCTTGAACAGGATCTTCCACACGCAACAACATCCCTTGCCCTGACAACTATGTGGCAGCCGCCATTTGTTCCATGAGCTTTCCATCAATAGAGGGACCCCAGAACACACCCCAATATAGTAGAATACCTACTATGGGAACTCAAAATGATTCCCCTATATGAGCCATAGTCTGAACTCCTAGTATCCCCCTTTAATACGCCAAATAATACTCCCCCTATCTAATCCCCTCTCTAACCCCCTTTAGGACTTTAGACTTAAACCCTAAACCCCATATAACCCTATGTATGCTGCCCTATATTTAGCCTCTATATCCCTCTATAACCCCCTTTTAAGGAGTTGAGACTATAGCTCATATACATTAGGAGGATCCCCACCCTGTAATAGTGGTATCTGAGGAATATAAACTGACCCTAATATGCCTTATAGTCACTGTTACAAGGCGGGGGCCCACTTAACATATGCACCCTATTTTTGGAAACCCTAGCCCTCATAATCCACTGAATAAAACCAGTTTCCCTTTCATTTTCCCTTATCTTTTCCGTTTGATTCTCCATTATTGAGCTAACATCTCGAATTCGGGGAAACCCATAACCCTAAACCCCATATACCCCTACCCTCTAACACCGCCTTGTAAGGAGTTTAGACCCTAAAACCCCAAACCCCACGTAACCCTATATAATCCCCTAGATAACCCTTTTAAGGACTTTAGACTATAGCTCATGTACCCAGAGCGTGCCTCCTTTATACCCCTTATATAACCCCATATATCCCCTGTAACCCCTTTAGGAGGGACCCCGAACATATACCCTAAATCCTATAGTCCCCCTTAAGTAGATAGAATATGGCTTTGGGCTATATTATAATAAGATCCCCATATACCCCATATTCTATCTACTTAAAGGGGGCTATGTATCCAACCCAAAACCCTGAACCCCAAATAGTACTTTCCATTTTCTCTTCCACTATCCTTACATAACCCCTATATACTCTTGTAGTTCTACTTAAGGGGGACTATACCCTAAACCCTAAACTCTCCTTTTTTGGGGGAAGATTCTTGAAGCCGAGCCTTGCTACCCAAGGAGATGAACTTCTCGGGCCTGCTGAGAAAAGAGATTAAGGTAGAGTTAAGGATCCCTTTAAGAGGGGATCTAGGGGATATATGATATATGGGGTTATATAAGGCGTATGTAGGGTTTAGGGTTATTATGAGTTTCCCAAAATTAGGAATATTAACTTAATAATCGAGAATCAAATGGAAAAGAGAAGGGAACATGAAATGGAAACTGAGGTTTTCCAGTGGGCTATACGGATTAGGGATTTCAAAAATTAGGGGTACCATTTGGGGGTTCCAGTAATAAGGACTATAGTAGTTTGAGGTCTATATTGGGGTAACTAGCATGTAAGAGGAAACTGCTGACTGTAAGTGCCCGGGCGCTTGGGGTTTCGTGCTGCAACAACTCCAATATCATCTTGAAGTGTATTTGAGCTACCCTATACCATGACTATACCAGGAAATGGAACGACAAGGGCTTTCAGAACTGCTACGTACAGTACTTCCACAAAACATGTACGTAGCGTTCCCCTGCCTCCTGAACAGCGTTCCCTGATGGGCCACTGTTTTACACTTGACGAAAACAAGCTCTGGCCTTCGCATATCAGAATCCACCTGCATTTTTCTTAACAATGAATCCCTAAGGGGCGCCCATAAGCTCTTCTTCCTAAGAACACCCGCGGTTTTTAGAAACTCCTACCTGTCGTCATCCTCGCCACCAGTATACTCGGCCCGCATCTGCGCTCTTGGAAACCGCTTGTGGAAGTGCTGGCAGCTTGCACCAACCAGGTCAATGCCGCGGCCTACCATGGGCGAGATAAAGACTGCTAAAGCATCACGGAAGTTAGAAGGATCATATCTATCTTGATCAGTTGGTGATCTTGGATCTTGCATGACATGTTCTTGTTATAAGCCCCATGCTGGTAAAGCCTAACATGTTTCCTTGCACACCTTCCCTTCCCTCGCCTGCATCTTCAATGATAAAGGGCCGTGCAAGGCGTACTCGTGCATCAAAGTCGGCTGCCGTCACCTGCCAGAATGATTCAACAGCACTCGAACACCCTGGAAACACGTAGCCCCCAACAATTCCATCCTCCCAAGCTCAAACCTTCTGAGTCCTGTCTGACAAAAGTAAATACCCGTTGTCCCCTATAATTATGATCAACTACCCGTGAAGTTACGAGTATCACCGAAAATCAGCCTCACGGACTCGCTCCACTGGCTGTGGCGCATCGCCTGAGCTCTTGGGGGTTCTGAAAAATGGCGGGCTCTTAGGAGCCCAACGGATAGATGCAGATTTTTAAGTAGCAAGTATAAGGGGCATTTTGAGAAAGTCACAGGAAACACACAGCTGCACCCTTCCAGAAGCATGGGGCCGGGTGTTCTGGCTTTGACAGGCATTTTGTCCTCAAGATCATTGATCATTCTGATTGCTGCGAGGTTTAGCCGTAGGCTGGCATGTCAATGCATGTCATGCAGTACATGGTCCCTACATGATCCCTCTCACCTCGCGGCAGTCCTATCCAATGCAGTCTAAACGCAATGGATTCCTTCTGTTTCGCTTCGAAATGTTTTCTCATGAGGACTCCCAAAAAACATGAGCGCCCACTGTAGTCGCTCTCTACTGTTGTGCTGCAATCCTCAGATTCCAACAGCCGCAAGACTAAAACCTTCCGCTGATAGCCTTACCAGCCTTGATACCCACAAAAACCGATCAAAACACCAACCACATAAGATATTGCGCCGAACAAGCATGGCAACTGCAAAGCGGCCCTTCTGGTCCATCTGGGAATTTCTCCGAACTGCCCTGTGACCCCCTTCCAGACAAGTCTTAGGGTCCCTGGGGAAGCCTCCCACCTAGCCCAAGGGCGAATGGCGAAGAACTCCGCAGTGCTGGGCTCTGCCAATGGCGAGAGGTCTGGGGAAAGCGCTGGAGCGATGACCTGTAGGGTTCTCTCAAACTGGAGATGCACCAAGATACCCTAGAGATTCCTGAGGGCTAAAAGGAGATATCCGGTCTTTTCAGGATCATTTATTTTCTTGAGGAACTCTCACTCGCTCGGGGAAAAGCGCTGCAACGCAGCAGGGCAAAGTAGGTTCAGGAGGTACTGCTACTACCGCCGCTGCTGCTTCATCTACTTGTTCTCTTCGACGAAGAGGACTACTACCACCACCACTCATGAAAGCAGAAGACGCGCTACTCGCAACAGTGAACAGCAGCAGGAGCAGCAAAAGACTGGTCAGAGTGGCATCATCAGCAACAAACAATGACAATCATCATACTGCCTAACTTTACTCAAAGCTATTTGGGCGAGTGGCAAAGATCAAATAGTTAAGTACAGCAATTGCTAAATCCTCTACATCCCTAAGCACCGAGAAAAGGGCATTGCCACCCTTACCTTGCCTCACCGGATGCAAAAGCTTGGCCATCGAGCGCTTTGGCCAGAAGAGCCAGGCGAATGGTCATGAGAGCTCAGGCACTGGCAGCGACATAGCGCGCCGTGTGAGGCATGGACGGGAGTAGAAATAGGCGTGCGAATTAGCAGCCACAGCGGTAGGATTGAGCAGCACTGTGGCAGTATGAGCGCAAGTAGGAGTGCAAGTACCGCTAGAGGTACCCTAGAGGTAGACCAAGAAAAACAAACAAGTTGCAGCGGGAACACCGCCACCAGCAGCAGCTATGGTGCTCTTGTTCTTGCTGTTGTTGCCATTGATGCCAGAGCACTTGTTTCGGCAGTGATGGCCCTTGAACTAGTAACTGCGAGCCTGCTATCTATTATGCTGCTACTACGAGTCTGGGGCGGGCCGAGCTTTAGAAATCACTTGAATGGTAGCTTGGTTGTCTTCGCTGTTGAGGGCAGCTTGGGGCTTAAAAACCTGAACTACATGCCCTGTCCTAGATAATTTGTTGCTTTCACCTATGCATCTTATCCAACAGCGAAGGGACGATGGCTGGTACTGGCTGGCATGATACAAAATACCGGCAGAAAACCTCAACACAGCTGCAGCTGAACACATCTTCATTTCCCTCGCTGCCGTTGCTTGGGATGTCTGTTCTAGCATGGGTTCGCGGGTTCATTGGGCAGCTCATAACCCTGATAGCGCAATGACCTGCTAACCACATGATGGGGCTAGCGGCTGCAAACAGCTCACCGACATTCACACGAATCAGAAGCTTTTACAATCTTTTACATCTTTTACTTCGCGGATGCTGTCAATTACATCAGCTAGCACAAGCCCTTACCAGAATCATGCTGGTGAGTGCCTATCAGTGCAGCGGCCAGTGCTGTTAGCTATGATGCGCTTCTCCTGTTAAACTGTTGAACTTTCCGACGAGCTGCAGAAGACTAGGAAAAGCCATTTGGTATGTTCCTTCAAATTACAGGGTCACGGGGGTCCCAATGCACACCCAATATGCAAGGCATGCTTCTTCATATGGACACCACCCATAGAGGACCCGCATTCGCCGGAAGCCCTACCCATTTCTAAAGATCGAAGAACCCATGGGCCGTTGTTTTGCTGGTGCTGGCAGGTTCTGAAGTGGTACTGCACCGAAGGCCACATGTCCGCAAACACTTCTGCAGCAGGAATCTGCAATCAAGCAGTGCTCAATATGTAGTACCCCTCGCGAGCATCTAGGAATGAGTGCTTCTGGCTAGTCACTATCAATCCCCAGGCACACAGCAGTGTGCCGGGGCACCTGTTGTCCCTGGTGGTCTGCAAGGAAAGGGGAAACATGGACTAGCGAGAATGATAGGTGTTCCATAATGGCTGCTGTAACAACTTGTCCCCATCTCCCTACAAAGCAACAGGAAGTCTTCACGTGGATCACCCACATGCAGCCGAAAATTGCAGTCAGGACCGACTCTACATGCAGTGCTGGCAAATTGCAGTGAATTGCACTAGCTATCGCCTCCTGGGCTTTTCGCGCAAAAAACAATTGCCCCGGACAGCGTTCTCAGATGGCTGCTTGTCAGCACACACAAACACAGTTTCTCTTTGATCCCCATGTAGAATCAAGAAAACGCATGAAATTGTAAGCGTCACTATGGCCGAGATACATGTTGTGGTCTCTCCTACCTTCTACCCCAATATTGCCATCAGGAACATTCCCAGGTCACAGCTGGGAAGGTCTCTGCACATGGCTACAAGAGAGCCATCTCCACGTAGCTGCTTCATAGGCGGGAGGCTAGGGCGGGGGGTTAACTGGATCCTGCGAATCAACTGCTTGCCGGGAACTTCCGGCAACCGTATGAACAAGTGCGCGACGTGTGGTTAATTCCAACGCTTAAGCGTGGGAGACGACACAATGGAAGGGAGGTCAGAACTGCAGAGACAAACCTGCGTCAATCCAACACATTCGTTTCGTGTGCTAATTGTCTTCCAATTGTCGGAATCGCCATGTGCCTTTGCTTGCACCAGAAAGCCTCAAAACCTCATTTTTCTCTCTCACCCCTGATCATGGTTAGATGACAACATACCGACTGCGAAATGACAGTGTAAGTGCCGTCTGTAATGTGTCTCTATATAAACCGAATACTTGGAGTAGGGAGTCCCCCCGCCCTCCAGGAGCTTTCCGCAACCTCAGGCTCTGAGTTTGGTCCAGATGATGCTGCCTGGCCACGCGGCTTAGGGTTTAGGACTCGCGGCGTAGACCCCTCATTGATATCCCCATAAATTGTTGGATGTTTTGGGGATTCAGGAATCAGGAGCGTAGCTTCATAGTGGATGAAGGGATGAATCCCCATGGTGGGCCTGGTGAGCCCAAGCACTCCCCCATATACACATATACACACCTTATAAATTTGTACGTATACATATATGTATGCAAACATGTTTCTTAAGTCCATACCTTCATCCCGATCAGAATCGGTAGGATATCACCCTTGGCTGTCTAGCTCCCTTTCAGGCTGTAGGGAGGAGATATGCTAGTCTCAGATAAAATCTGCATTGCATGTAAAGCGGTTCTTGAAGATCTCCCACCACGTTGCAAGGTGTCAGAGTCAGAGGTGTTGACACAAAGTTTGGACTTGCGGATCAAATGCTTTTATGGAAAATATTCCTGAGCTTAGTGTCGGGCTTGTTGAAGCTTAAGAGGGAGGTTTGGATCTGGGAGTACACGGTGGCATGGGGGCAGAGATGTTGCGCGTACGGGAGCAATAAGGCAAGCTCTTGTATTTGGGGGGAAGGGGGGTGGAGGGCGCACAAAAGCCTACATAAGATGTACAGTGCTTAGGGATCTTCTCAAAAAGGTAGAACCTTTAATAGCGATCCCCATTCTGCCCCCTATCATCCCCATAAATTCCCAGGGTCTCCAGGGCACCCCTATTTTGAGAAGCTCGCAGTTGCCAATAACTTGGACAGCTCCCGCTGGCAAAGGAAAAATTGACCGAAATAAATCGCTTCTCCTGCCCTGCCTCCTACTACTATATGTTCCTTATAGTGGCCGCTATGAGCAACTGACAGACTTACTGATCAGCAAGGTCGATTGACGCAACAGATAGGGGTCGTCCCCCATCGCTCTTTGCAGGCTTCTGTCATGGAATTCATCTTCTCTTTTTGGGGTGGTCCTGTATTGCTTTACATCGTCAATGCCCCGCAAAAGTAATACATGCCAACTGTATACTAACCTTCAAGGACGCCAAATTTGCCCACATATTTGGAAACGATATTGAACATTCAGAGGGTGGGGGGGAGTGTAGTATTGGGGGAAGGATTGAGATTTGTACACATGACGGATACCAATAGGCAGTACCCCATGTCTAACTCCAAGGGTCCAAGACTTCAAATAGCATGCAGGTTGTAGTATATGGAGCCTGAAACCCCTTCATTTGGGCACTTGGAAGTGTAGGGCAAACCCAAGCCAAATTCTTGAGATCTGAAATGTAAGGCTCCCCAAAACCAAGCCCCAAAAAGGGACCCTTCAATTTGAGATGTTTTCCGAAAGGTGAACTTCGAAAACAGGCATCCCTCTTACGTACTACCGAATACTATCTCCCTCATGGCGGGCACTCCCGAAAAAAATTGACATCTGATTGCACTACCAAAAAAAAACGCAGCAGCGTGGGCTTGTTGTTTCATTGCTACATCTAGCTACAGATGCAACCATGAAATGGCATCCCCTCGCGTGGTGATGAACGACTCCACGACTTAGTAGCAAATATTGCCGGAACATAGAAAAGTACAATACTGAATCTCATTACTAGCGGGTTTGTAGCATTTATCGTTTTGGTTCTTGTGAATTCGGGGTTGCCTGCCTGGCTTGGGCTCGTGCCGGATGGGCCGGCAGTACCGTTCCTCACACCAGCTGCCATGCATTTCGACTTTTTCCATACGCACAGGTGTAGATACATATACGTATCAAAGCCCTAACCTACTGCAGAGCATCTGGAACTGTTCTTTGGATTTAGCAGGGGTTCCCGTTGGAACGCCCGAGGCGTCTACTGTTGGAGCCACATTGCTCGGGAGTCCAAAGTGCTTGGATAAAGATCACTGCCTAATAGGTATCCTGATGCAGGACCAACATCGACCAACTATTTCAAAAAAGTTTCTCCAGTTCTCGGACTGTATGGTCACTTTTAGCCGGCCCGTTGCACTTTGATTTTTCTGCTTGCGGTTCAGTCCAAAATTAGGCTGTCATGATGCACGGGGCATCTTCTACGTCACGGTGAGCTTCAGAAGAAGGAAATTATGACGGCCCTTCCTCGCCACCTGGGACTTGAAAACACACCTCGGGCCTGCGATCAGGGATCCCATCATATGAGCAGCTAAAGACGGAGTTCCTTGCAGACACCCTCCTCAAAACCAACATCACATCTGGCCCAATTGTCTTGCAGCAGTAGTAGGCCGCCGACCACTTTCTTCAAGACCCAGGCGTAAAGCCTGGCCCGCGCAGCAACTTGACTGCAAGAAAGGATCTCAATCATGATTGATTAGAATCAAAAGGCTGTAATTACTTCAATACTTCAGCTATGACCGTCCTCTCTAGATTAACCCCGTAGCTCGGGGAGCAGATGGGTAAGTCCCGAGATTTGAAGCTTTGCAGCTCACTTGCTGTATAACAGCAATAGTAAGAAGCAAAAAAGTAGTTGTGATAACAGTACCAGTAGTAATGATAGCGTAGGGGCTGAGCACGTGGCGTTGTGTAGCCAATCTTTCTGACATCCTCGGGACGGCCTGAGGCGCCAACAAGCATGCTAACAGGAATAGGTTTTCATGAGTGCCACTTGTGAGTGCCTGTCAGGTTTGCCTGCGCAGAAGATTTTGCTTTGAGACTCTTTGGGGCTGAGCCTCTGCGCCGCATCAAAGGTACGGGAGAAAACGCCGGCGATGAAAACGCATATACTGCCAGTGTTTTTGATCGTGCGGAATTTCCACCATGGCCAAGGTCAATGTTAAATGCTACGGGATGCGTCTAGCAGTCTAGTTTGTGCCCTGGACACAAAGAACACCCAGACAGAGAGCCTGGCATTCAAAACCAGCAAGTCTGAGAGTCCGACAGCGGTGTTTGGAGAAAGTTCGAGTGAGACTTTTGATCTGCGACTTCATCACCCAGCCTTAGCATGTAGCAGTTCTCTATACAACATAGTTCTCCAATTCACGTTGCAAGCATGTGAGGTTTTCCAGAAAATCCATATTTGTTCTTAATCGGGACCTGTAGGTTCAGGGAAATTCCCTCAACTTTTATACGAAATCACCTTTAGAGTTCTAGAGTTCGCTTGCACATTTGTGTGCACATCCTTTGGAACTTAGCCGAACTACCAACTAAAACATGTGATTAATGGTGATGATACTAGGGTCCTCTTATATGGGACCCCGAAAAAATATTTGACTTCGGGAAATATGACTAAACCCTCTGAAGCCTAAAACCTAAACCCTCAACCCTAAGAATTCCTAAGCCCGAATTCCTAAAAAAGCCCCAAACCTTAAACCCTATAGTAGTTGCCATTTTCTTTTCCATTATCCCAATATATAACCTAATGTAACCCAATACCTTAGGTGGACCCCCCGCCCAGCAATAGTGACTATAAGTTCTTATTTTACCACTATTACAGGGTGGGGGTCCTCCTAACCAATACCCCTCAACCGGGGAGGTGGCGCCCATTCACCCGGCGGCCCAGCGGGATGCAGTCGGTGAGCTCGGCCCTTGCGACGATCTTTCCAGAGCCCACCTGCTCGACGATCTACGAGGAGGTTTTGGGGTTTTGGGTGAAAGTTTAGGATTCAAGAAGTCAGGTTCAGTATTTTGTGTTTTATTAGGATTCAGGGTTTGGGGCCTGGTGTATGTATGACTGGGGATGATGCTGCTTCTCTGAGAAATGGAGAAGGATCCATTATGGGGGGGGAGGATGGATTTCCAATAATTTTGGGTTGGTCTGCTGGTGTGGTGTCTGCAACTGTGTCTTGCGCTGTCTACAGGTACCCTCATTGTTGTCCACTCACAACAGATTTTTCCCAGACCTCTTAGAGTGCAGCGTTTTTGGTGTTAAGCTTGATAGGAGTGAATGAGGACATCCCGAACAGGTCCTCAGGAGCTCTGGCGAGAGGTTTAGATACTGTGAGAAATCGTTTTCAGCCTGCTGGGAAACCGTGGCTGTCTCAGCACTGATAGCTGCCCGCGCGAATATCCTTTTGACGATGTAGGCAAAGCGAAAGTATTCGAAGATGTGAGCGCTGTACCAGCCTTGCCGGCAGCGGAAGATTGAGGCATGCATGAAATTCATGGAGCACCGCTATCCAAGCACGCTGAATATGCTTGACGTCATTAGCTTGACCGGTGCTGAAAAAGTATGGTTGTTTAAATAGAAGGCTCGCAGGAAAACACTACACACGAGCCAGCAACTCGAATTGGATGCCCATCGGTTCTGTGAGACACTCTCTGAGTGTCACTTCTTGGACTGCTCAGTTGCATCTCCATCTGCGTGTCCAGCATCGGCTGCTTGTGGAGGAAGCAGCTTCTCCATTGGAAAGGATGGCGCCCGGTTGGCATAGGTCCTCACCACTTTGCCTGTCAGGACAAGATGCTCACACCCAACGCTGGATTTCCAACTTTTGCCAGAGAGCTAGCCCATAAGTACAATGCTTTGGGTTTCTTAAGTTATGCGACATGCGTCCAAATGTCGAGTGGATGGGCATGTCTTGCTAATGTATGAGGTGCATGGCAGAAGATTCTTGTCAGGCAAGATGTGCTTATTATGCTAGTCTAGTATCGGCTACAGGGAAGACGTACTGCTCCCATTTTCTCGCTGCACACTAAAATCAAATAGCACATTAATCCTTACTGTACGAACCCTGGCAAACATCCGCTCAAATCGCCAAGTCTCTCTTTCTTTCTTTCTTTAAGGGTGATGGACAGCCCTACGGCTGCCCTAGGGCCCAGCCCCACACCCAGATCTGGCACGGCTCCCACGCGGCTCCCGAGGATCATAGTCCAATGGCTCTCCCTCCCAAGTCAAGTAAGCCCCATACTAGATAGCCTAGCCCCCAAACGTCTCTCTCTCTCTCTCTCTCACAGTTGGGCCCTCAACATAACGTGGTCCATCTTTAGCTGAATCCACGGAACCTCAAAAGCGGGAAATTCACCTTACATTCCACTTTTTCCCAAAAGCATTCTCTGGGAGTTTAGGCTTTGGGCCGTGGACACCTCACTGGGTGCGGATTGTCAGAGGGTGTAAGCCCCCAGTAATTAGGGGCATTCCAAGGTTTGTTTTGAGAAACTCCCACATGGAAATCAAATCAGGGGAAAGGAGCTTTGAGTGGAGAAAGCTAAACCCTGTTATAATAGTTTCCATTTTCTTTTCCATCATCCCTATATAACCCAACCCTAAACCCTAAACCCTGAACCCTTTTCATAGTAGTTTCCATTTTCTTTTCCATTATCTCAATATATTCATACCCTATTTTACTATAGCAGTTTCCATTTTCTTTTCCATTATCCCAATATATACCCTAATTCATACCCTATTGTACTATAGTAGTTTCCATTTTCTTTTCCATTCTCCCAATATATTCAACCTCCATTTTAATATAGTAGTTTCCATTTTCTTTTCCATTATTTCAGGTTTTGCGCTTTGGGATGCAAGGTAGCCTTCCAAGGGGCCCTGCGGGATGCGTCGTGCTGCAGGCTCGATGGCTGCCACGCGCTCATAGAGCTGACGCCGGAGGAGATCTCGGAAAGGATCCTCCAAACAGAAATTCGTAAAGCAGTTTGAGGCAGTGTGAAAGGCTTTGCAGGAGTTGTGGAACTTGGGAGTCCATGAGGCATTGAGGTTATTCATTCTAGAATTCAGTAGACTTTAACGCCAGCATGGAGATTTGAATGTGCAATATTAAGGGGATATGAAAACTCCAAACCAAAGCAGTGATCTGGATGGTTGCTCAGGCGGATCCTCCCGCCAATTCAGGTTTGATATTTGGCAGAAGTTCACCAGCACTAAACAGCCCAAAGTTCCTAGCCTGACAGTTGCTTCAGAATCTGAACAGCCTGTACTTGAAACATGTGCTGGATCTTTATTAACTAATCGGATCCGCAGAGTGTTAACCGAAAACTGGACAGATCGCGACAACGTTCAAACTTGAACTCGAGAGATTAACCGGCAATACATGAGCGGCTTCAAAGGAAGGTGGGGAAGTGAGATCGCTCCAACGCCCATTGTTCGAGGCGACAGTTCGGTCAAGGCTTGCGGTTGGGGGGTTACGCGGGTTCTCTTGGCTAATTATACTCATTACCGAGAAAAGTTCATAGCAATACTTCCCCCTGTTGAATGAAGCTTAACTGGCTCACCAACTGCGCTACCGCCGCACAAGCACTCCCGGTCGTATGCCCACCGAGCCTCAAGGCGTGCCTGCTGCAACCACTCGATCTCCTGGAGGGCTAGTGCTTGCCACAGCAGCCGAACTCACCAAAAACGTGTAAACACATGTGGGAAAGCACTGCTGTCTGAACACGTGAGCTGTTCTATGCCAGACCTTTGCTGGGCTTACCAGCAGCCCATGACACAGACATGACACCACTTAAGTCCTGCTCCACGGCTTTCCGAATGTCGGCATAAGCCTTGTCGCACGCACTTCGGTCCTTCCATGCTCAGGGCTCATCACATGTTTGGCCTGCCCTTGGTAGTTCTGCGTGGGGTTACAAGTTGGGATACTATAGGTATCATCTGCCCTCACTTATGACTACGTCCTGAAACCCTTCATCCCACAGCCAACCTTTATCAAAACCTGCAGGGCAGCTCCTTGGGGTCAACGTCTTTCAGGTCGACGGGCTCGCCAAAGCCTAGGTCGTGCAGACATTTGGTGAAATCAGAGATTCATAGGCCAACCCACCAACTCAGAAACCTGTTCTACTACGTGGTGATGAAAAGGATTTATTGTCAGACCCTTCATGAGCTGACCAAAAGGCTGTAGTAGAAGCGGTCCCCAATGCCCGGGCTGGATTGCGTGGCCAGCGATAGTGGTGGAGCCATGAATGGCACACTCATGCCCGACTCCTCACATCTGCATCTAATCTTGGGATATCTCAGGCTTGGTCGAAAAACTCATACTGGTAGAGGCTCAGTTATGACTGGCAAGCAAACAGTACGTCTCGTACCAAGAGATCATCGGGATCCCCAAAGCCAGACACGGAAGCTTCAACCAACTTAGCTTATCCTTCCAAGGGCTAAGTGCTAGATCACTACAGGTGAGTCTCCATTGGTACTATTGCAGAAAGTGGTGCCAATACATTAGGATTAGGTTTCTGCTGCAACCACTACTGCGCAACACCCACTCCCCCTCGGTTCCACCCTTAAAAACTCTAGCCTCGTTCCTCCCAAACCTCACCGGCAATACAAGTACGCAGATTTGAAGGGAGGCGGTGTTGGACAGAATGTCATGTTGTAGCTGATGATGGCAATCAATCTGAATAGCTGAATAGGGAACGTACAATGAAACAGCGGATGCTCTTGTATCCGCAAAGAAAGGTTGAAACTTAAGCCCAACCAAGTGTCCAGAGCTTCCGATACCGGCATGAGACCACCGGATTTCGGCTGGCTACCTTTCGTCAACTCATAGGATTAGCTCTGCACACTACACTAAACACTAAAACTCTAAGGCTCCACCAACAACAGATCAATACCAGCAAGAGAGAGAAGTCAAAGCAGTGGCCAGAACTCCATTCGGAATCTCAAGATTTGGAGACCTAGAAAGTGCTCCGGCACTCCTGTCTTCAATCGCTTCAAATCAATTCCCTCTTTTATCCACACTGTGGGGAACGAAAAATGCCACAGCACCACTACAGCCTGAACCCGATCCAGTTGCGGGCCATGAAAGGAAGGAGCTCCTCAGCCTTTCTCCGGAGCTCTCTGGAGTTAGCCAGCACCTGGTGACAGGCCCTAATGAGTTTATCATGAGTTTATCTTTTTCAACAGCCGCTGAGATCCCTGTCCCCCAACATACCAGCAGCCCTAGAGTCATTTCTAGTTTGCGTTGATCTACCACAACAGGATGCCCTTGAGGATTCTGGGCACAAAGGAGGGCTTCTTTGGGAAGACTCCGGGTCGTTCTTGAAAATCCCAGCCTGAACATTGTCATCTGCCCCAATTCCGGCAAAGGGAACAACCACAGCGTTGAAGCGCGCGGCCACTCGGACAAAGTCCGTCTTACTTGGCCAGAAGAGCTTGTAGTCCTCTCCCGGGCCATGCAGGGCCTCTTTCACACCACCTGGAAACCTGGGCCAGATGTAAAATCCTCTTCAGCGCTTAGCTTAAAGTTCCTGGCGAAGCTACTAACCTGTCAGCGCAAGATCAGACTTCAAAAGGACCAGCAACAGAAGCACCATCTCCCCTTGCTGCAACAGCTTGAAGATGTTGCGAGGTGAGACAGAAACTGCTCCGAAAGTTTGGAATTGTGAAGGCCCTTGCTGACGCATGCGCCGCATAGCTCCAGGATAGGCAAGGCCTCTAGCTACCACTCCCCTTGTCACCTAGGCTCCAAAATTACCAGAGCAAGATTAAGAAGACCAATGTGTTTCAAGGCATGTTTGTGGAAAATTGCCTTTCTAAGCCACAAACGAGCCTTACAAACCAACCTGTGCCACATGCAACCCAGGTTGCCAGGAACTCACGCACCAAAGGACCAAGATCCAGTCCGGCTATCCTAGGTGTTATTAAACCCTTGAAAACAGCAACTGCACCCCTTGGTTTTCCGATAACTGTGATCACAACTAAAAAAGTACTTACTGATCACAAGTCTAATGGTGTGAACTAGCATCTGGTGGTTGCCCACGAGAAGCACTGGTCGCTCTCCGGCCTCTGCTGGCGTTGGAACACCACCCAGGCCAAAAGACCGCTGTGATGAGGAAGCCGCATCAAAGCTGCAAAACACAGGTGAGACAACAGACGCTAATCTCTCCACGTCCTTGGAACCATCCTCCAGTTGCTCCAGGCTTGGGAACTCGTAGCCTGAAACCGGATCCTTGTAGGCAAAAATGGCCGACTCCTTCAACATCTTCAGGAGGTCTAGGTTGCTGGCCAAGGGTTCATGGCTTCGGCTATCTAACTCCTTGACCTCCATCCTGCCTGTGAGGCAGCGCTCCTCCAGAATCGGCTTCAGCTTCTGTGCTTCAGCTCGAGAGGGCAGGAGCGTGTCATCCTTCGAGACAGCAAGCAGAGTCGCTGGGAATGGAGATCTGTTGGCTGGGCGCCGGAGCTCGCAGGACACTGCCTCCCAGCCATCCCGGAGCCAGGCTTTCAGACGAAAGTCCAAGGTCCCACTGCGAGCTGCAAGCGCAGCTGACCGGAAACCTGCGGCACCTGTAGCAGCCTTGACGATGAGATCTCCAAGCCCATCGTTAAAAGTCGCTTGCCCTCCAACTGCCGGGGCTCCCCGCAAAAGCTCCGCCAATGGTCTAACAGGAAGTGGGCCCAGGCTTTGCCAAGGCTTCTGCGCAAGGCCAGTAGCGGGATTCACAAGCACAAGCCCCTTCAACGCGCGGCCTAGCCGCAGGGCCATGGACAGAGCTAGCAGGCCACCAAAGCCATCGCCGATCAAAACCACTTTCCGTTTCTGGGCGATCTGTTTGCGCAACCAGTCTTCCACTGCGCCAGCAAGCTCGACGAAGCTGGTCTTCCTATCGCTCTTGGGAAGAAAGCAGCGCCAAAGCCTTGGAGAGCTTTAAATTTGAATTCTTTACGTTGAACTCGCTAGATATCACTGAAATCAAACGACTTTCACTCTAAGAGCTGCGCTCGAAGCCATCATCCACAAGGCTGGGAAACTGCACAGCTGGCACTGTCCCGGTGAAATCGATGTCAGGGAGATACCTGCATTTCACAAGGCGTGGCTCAGGACGCCTTCACAAAGCAGAAGTAACGGACAACGCCAATCAGTGCCAGGCCACAACAAAATGTCACCCGTGCCATCGGGGGGCCCTCCCACACAGTCAAAGCCAATCTGAGCGGTGCCATCTATCTCATCTGCAGCGGCTGTCATGGAAGCAGGGGCCGTACCCGATTGCAGCGCAGCAGCCCACTCAGGCTGCAAGACACCTGGGGGGGGGCTTCCTTTCACTCCAAAGCTTCAGATGCCATCTCCTGCCTCTTGGGCGATCTTCAGCAGCCAACACAACCTGTGCTGGGCACGCAGCTAACACCATATACACATGGCCTCCCTACACCCTCACATGTATGCACAGGTGGTCACTCCCTGCCTTGCGAAGAGCTCGCCTGGCACGAGCTCTCCACGCAAGAGCCGAGGCTGCGATGATGCCTGCGCTGCCCGCGCTGGGCAGAGCGCCGTGTCCATAGCCGCTCACCTTTGAGAACTGCGAGAACTGGCGACTTTGTCCATGTCCTGATGCACTGCGGAGCTTGCCCGCAAAAGGCAAGCCATCTGCTAATCTAGGACCGAAGGACTTGGAGTGAAGCTCGTGAGAAAAATCCCGCAGTCACCGGCACTATAGGAACAAAGCTTTACCGAAAAGGACGTGTTGAAGGGAAGCTTCTACATGGAATCACTAAATAAACCCTATACATGGCCCCTTGATATGCCTGTAAACCCTATTTTCCCCCTGTACAATCCCTCTGTAATCATCAATGTATCCCAAACCCTAAACCCAAATAACCTGTATGATCTATAGTCTGAACTCCTGTATCCCCCCTAATATGCCCTATGATAGGAACCTTATATTATGTAATCTCGCATATAACTTCTTTGAAGGAGTTTAGACTATATCTCATACGATCCCTTTTGCAACAGGCTTTCTCATAGGATCCCTAAACCCTTAACCCTAAATGAGCCATAGTCTAAACTCCCAGCATCCCCCTTGATAAGCCCTATTCTCAACCCCAAACCCTATATGATACCTAGAAACTGGCTAAAGTTCCACCCAGGTGCGGCCTTGGACTGCTTGTCCTGGCACAGGGGTGACTTACGTGGCGTTAAGTAGGATGTAAAGGAATATAAAAATCATATAGGGATCTAGGAACTATATAGGAGTAATAGGGAACAAGGGAATATATTATATAGGGATGATACTTGTACTCTACCAACCACCAGAAAGTGGAGTGGGGCCCTACAGCCTCAAGGGAATTGGGGGGCAAGGTGACTTGAGGAGCCCAGCCCTAAACCCTAAACCCCCTGCAGTCATGTTGGAGGCTTGGGATGTCTGTTCTTCGTTTTGCAAATTTGCGGATCGTTTGGCCAGTGCTTAGAAGGTGGGCCCGACGGATTTTGGCCTGAAGAGGTTTGTGGACTCAATACAGCATCATAGCCCCCAAAAGAGCTACAATGAGGGAACTTCCGGATGTGGGATATACAAGACCTGTACAATGGTTCTTCACCTTGAAAGAACTATTTGGGAGTGTTTTGAGATGCTCCCAGGGCCTGGCACCTGCTTGAATGCCGCGTCTGGTGACACTTGCCAGTTGCCAATCGCGGCCATGGCAGTCCCAGTGCAGCTACCTGCTGCTGTCGATCGTGCAGCCAGGCCAATACGGCTGCAGAGTCAGGTGAGCTGTAGTCTAAACTCCTTCACCGGGGTAATGTGGGGGACTACATAGACTATTATGAGTTATATATGAAGGGAATGCCAGGAGTTTAGACTATGCAGTCGCTCAGGTGATGTGGGGGCCTCCATAAATGGGGACTCCTCTTTGGGTCTCCCTATAAAAGAAGGACTTGGGATGTGGGAGTCTATATTGGGGCCCCCTTATTTCTGGAAACAACTATGCAGGCTTGACTCCCATCATCAGGGCCTGGCCTAGAGCCCTTTGTGCAGGTAGCATGGAGTCTAACACCGAAGTTGCTCAGGGCTGAATAAAGCATTATAGGAGTTCTGGGGGTTAGTTAACTGACTATGCGGGAAGTGGTACGGTAACTCTCGGCACAATGCAAGGAAATTTCTAGGTCCTAAACCCCTTCATTAAGTATTTCTATCTGCATTTCCGCTTAGATTCCCAGCCTGCTTCATAGGTGCTCCTTATTTCAGCTGTTTGGGGCTTGCGGGGTCAAGCAGAAATCCAACCTGACCTGGAAGCTCTTCCCAAAGGCGTATAATGTTTTTTGAAGTGAACCACGGCTTGCATTCAATTTAAGACAGACAGAGGTCACATTCGTTGGCAAGGTGAGACAGCGGATTGGGTGTCAGCAAATTATACAAGATGTTACAATCATGAGTAACTAGTAACGGCGACGTGCTACTCCGCGCACGGTATCCCAAGTGTAGCACAACGAAACATAAAAGACGCGGTTATTCAAGAAATGACTGCCGCCATGTGTCAAACAAGGCTTGGGGAATAATGCAGCCCGCTTATTGCAACGGGCGCTTGAGGCCCACGGACATTTGCTGACAGGGATGGCCTTCTTGAAATATACACACTCGCCTGCATTCCGAAGGAGCCCCCTATACACTCACCCACAACGAATAGTGAAGCCCTACGTCATACCCTAATCCTTATAACCCACGAGATAACTCCAGTTGCCATTTCATTGTCCGTAGAGACTGCAGATTGTCATCCAGCAACATGCACAGTACCTCGATCAGGCCGATGAGGCCACGGAGATTGGTTGGCCGATTCCTGGCTCCGATCACCAGACTTCGCTGAGGAGTTTGCTTGCTTGTTATAGTCCCCTTCCGCTAACGAAAATCCCCCATCCCCGTAATGATGCATACTCCCATAGTGGCACAAATTATCTTAATGGGGAAATTGTTCATGACTACGGAGGAGATTATGGGCAAGAGATAAGTATGTCGGGCATTTCTCAAACAAATCAGGGACGCCCTTCAGGCCTTAGGCATCCGGGATTATTGAACGAGGGTCGTTTTGCGAAGCTCGCGTGGGATGTTGTTTTCCCTTCGGCTGCATGGGAGCGGGGCAGAGAACTCTGGGGATAGCGCTGCGTAGCAGTTGCTACCACACGCCTACCTCTCATCTGCTCAACCTCCAATTCTAACAACAGGATCATTAACTGCACGGGGAGAGTAGGCACCGCAGACACAAGCATATAAAGCTTACCAGGTTAGTGTTCAACATGTTTTTACTGTACTTGTTCAACACAAGCTCAGACGCACCAGAGTGTCACGTACCTCCCCCAGTGCGTCTGGGGTCCCATAGAAAAGGCTCAACATCAGGTTGCTAAATAAAATAGGATGTTGGCGAGTCGAGAGACAGCATTACTTTCAGTGCGAAACAGACCTTACTTGCAGGGTATGGGGACTTAGTAACGGAGTCAATAATGGGCATATTTGGGGCTGTTAATTACAAAGCTTATAGGGGTTATTAAGCTTTTCACCCCAGAAACCACCTGGTTCCCGATATGCACATAGTCAGATAGGGCATGATACGAAACACTTGAAAAACCAAAATGGTTAAACTACAGGCGACAACCGGCGACAACCTGTAAAACTTGAGCACCTTCCTACCACCAGAGCCTTGGACCCTAAAAATTGCAATTGAAGCATAATTTTGATACTTATACTAATAATATTCTTATTGTTGTTGCAATGATATGAACTAATCGTGAACATAGTAGTTAAAGAAATTACAAGAACTTTGGCAAGGACCATAAATAATGCAAATATCGTACCTATGGAATGTTGACAAAACCTTAAACCCTCAACCTAACCTGTTTGCAAAGGACTGAGGGCATGGATCCTCCTAGTAGTCCCCATATGATAACACTCAATGGCACAAAAACATCTGTTGTTTTTCCAATCCCCTGTATAGCCTGATATTATCCCTACATACTGCAGTTTTCCATTCGATTTTCCTTTTCGCTTTCCATTGTAGAAGTTTCCATGTTCTTGTCCATTCCCTCAACCTCTTGATACCAGACGTACGTCATACAACCCCATATAATCCCTATCATTTTCTCTTTTTCCACATGATTCTAGATTATTGAGGGCAATATTGTTACACCCAACCCTAAACTCTATGTGAGCAACCCAACTTCAACAGCCGGTCCTGAGCTCCCAAGTTTTCTGCTTGGCCAGGATTTTGCCCTTGGCCAGCGGCTGAGGGCTCATGAGTAGTCACTTGAAAGCATATACGGGGAGGCGGATATGTACAACACATATTTCTCGGGCTCTAAGTGCGTTTCAGAATTCTAGGTAGATGTCAAAGCGACCTCGGTTACAACTGCTCCTATCCTCCTATATCCTGCTTCTGACCCCACTTCAAAGAAACTCCCACACAACCGCGTCTCAGCCAGATTCCCTGACATGAGAACCTGCCGCAACTCCAACCGTATTTCGGGGTTGCTTAAGATGACAAATTATGAGGGGTCATTTCCGTGGGGAAACTTGATCTAGTGACCACGCAGATGCAGAGTGCAACGCAATACCCGCAAAGCGTCCTTGATCATGGCAGCCAGCAAGCATCAACTGAGCTCTGGACAATCCACCTTGGAAAGGCCATTGAAGGTGTCATAGAGAACATGAGACATGAGCAATTGGACCCCAAGGATATCAAGGATATGCAAGCTTTATGGACTCCATTTGGACCCCAAGGATATCAAGGATATGCAAGCTTTATGGACTCCATTT